GTCTCTGTGCTGTGGTCTTTTTTTTGTAAGCTTTTTTCATTGAATCAATTTCACTGTGAATTCCATCAACCTTTGTCATCAAAAACTTAGCAATTTCATTTGCGAGTTTATTTTTATCCAGGTGATCAGGGAATGACAGTTTATTCTCTGCTGTAAGAAGCTTCTTTGAACTTTCTTTGATCCTCGCTGTTTTCTTCCATGAATTGCGTGTAAAACTGAAGTCTTGCTTTATTCATTCATTTTTGAGAACTCTGTGGAAGTTGTGTTTTTCGGTTTAAACTTTTTCTGGATGTCCTTGCTGCGAAGGCCACAGACGAAACAATCACTTAGTGCTTCATTTAGATGTGTGCAGAAGTTGCAGGTAAAAGCGAGGTGTTTGAGTTTGGCGGCAAAAGTGGAGATTCTCTCTCCTTTCCGTTGAATGCAATTTTGAAATCAGGATCGTTCAGTGATAACAAGTTTTTTCATAGTAGAATGGCCTTTGAGAACGGTTGCAAGATCACTATTTACTCTCTTGGACAAGTACTTGCCTTTATAAAGTAACATTCTCAGTAGATGCAAGTGACAACTGCAAAGATGTCTTGTTGTGAAATATATTGGCCTGACATAATCCGCAATTTTTATTGAATGGGATTTAGGGGTTACTGAAGGAATGGTTACTAAGATGAGCAACTGGTTTGGGATTAAAATGGATGTTTTAAGAATCTGAAACTTATAACTTAGGGTCTTGTATTTTGTCAGAGAAAGGCTGCTGGAAATTTAATGAAGCGCATTGGGTGTAAAGGAAACTGACAGTAAATAATAACGACAAAGATTATGCTAGACTTTTTACACAACATGAATAAAGGGGTAAGTTTCTAAAGAAACTGTGGTGCTGCGTCGGTGGGAGAGTATAACAGGTAATTTAGTGTAAAAAACTGGGTTGAAAACGTAAATTAACCACCGTAAAGGGTAAAAAAGCTGACGTTTCGAGCGTTTTCAACCCAGTTGTTTACACTAAATTACCTGTTTTTACACAACAATTTGTTTATTGGTATTTTAAAACATTTAACTGTACTGGATATTACAAAGGTAGTAAATCCTAACAAGAAACGTAATTCAGTGACTTATCCTGACTGGGAACCAGATAAACATTTTCTATATTTTCCACAAGGACACTTTAATATTCTAAACGGACATGTCATCGTTGAGTTTTTAAATTTTATCAACTAAAAATACAGCAATTTTATTACATTGGACATTGACTTGGTGGCTCCCAAAGGAGCCGTTGTTTTTTTTTTGTTGACGGAGCCCTCTAAGGATAGCAGGCATCATCTAATGCTAGCAGCAACAGCTTCTTCGTGAGGGGAAGTCGCTTCACGATCGGCAGCAGTTTCAGTGTTATTGGACGTTAAATTTCCATTCTTTACGCAAAAGTTAAAAGTATCCTACACGATACTGCCGCAATGACCGCAAAACATCTTAAAAGGACTAAAAGACACAAAGTTGCATATATCTGCCAACTTTTTCGAGTGAGATTTTCATCCCCTCATGACCGGAATTTCCGAAAATGTTCCGGCAACTTCCGACGATTCACCGAAGACTTCCGAAGACAACCGAAGATGTCCGAAGATGTTGCGATGAGTTACGAACACGTCCAAAGCTATTTGAAGCTTTTTCGATGGCTTTCGAACGTATTGAAGACGTTTGAAAGCTTTTGTTATTGTTATGAATAGCAAAGGAAGTTTATTTTAGACGAGGAGGGAAAATCAGGCTCAAAACGTTTGATAAGTGAAACTGCTGTCCGTGCTAGAGCTAGCCTAGTAAGTTGTAAGTACAAAATGACTTCGACATTGAACCAAACGAATGCTGGATGTCTACTGTACATCGTTAATGTCATTGTATTTGTGGTTGCTATATTTAAAATTTTTCAGTACATGATAATGAGTTATCAATGATTAGTTACAGTTTCCATGTCACTGATTCCTATTTGAAGATAGAGGTGCAAGGGTGGCATTCTTAGCCTTATGAAGAACGTCTTTGCTGGGTTTGAAATGATGGCATTTGACGCTACGGAACAGGTTAACCTTTACTGCAATCAATGCCGAAAGCGTGTCTACCGTCATGGAGGAGCGCAACTCAGTTTTTTTCTCTCGTACCATTGAAAATAGCCTCTCATAGTCGGAATTACTTTGCGGAATAACAAGGAGGCCAGTGATAAACTTTCCTAGTAAGGAAATCTCTGCTGTCCTGTAACAGGATTTTTCATATTGAAAATTTCACACCACACCAGGTCCACCCTTCTGTTCACGAATGCTCCACCTTCTAAAACAGTGGATGTTTCTGGTCGTTCACTATCATCAAGAAGCTGGTACTCTAAGAATTCGTTTTCGAGGGAAGCCAACTCATCTTCCTCCACCAGTCCTTAGAATCTCTCTAAGAGAGCGTAGATATTTGTGACATCTACTGTCGCTCTCTTTGTCACATCTAAAATTACGGCGTAGTTAACCACTATATCATTGTAAGGAAACTTATCTTTGATGTAATTCAAAGCTGTTGTAAAAAAGTCGCGGACCTCTTCATAAAAACGCTGCATTGCTAGCGTCCCTTCAAGGTCTTTACTTTTAATAAACTGTGTAGTTGCGTAACCCTGAGCTGAGCTGATGGTTACTAAGTTGAACACCTGGATTGGTATAGTCTATGTCAAGCAAAGATTCTGCGTCACGGATGTATTGGAGTTTACTAAACCTTCCCAATAACTCTCTTGCCAATCAAGTATTTATACATTCGCCATCTTTGTGGATCATTGGCTCCTCACATTCCAACAGGCCTGTAAAAGAGTCAATAATTGGCAACACACTATGTAAGAAAAGCATGTAAACATTGGTCATGGGGTCGTTCAACCTATCCAACAAAAGAGTTACCTTGGATTCTTCCTTGTTCTTTTTTTCAGGTGCATAGGAAGAAAAATATGAATTTAGGGCATCATATTGTCTCAGAATTCGGTCTACATACTGCTATGCTTTAAAATTTTACCGTTTTGACACTACAAAACTCCTGGTATTCTTTCAGTAGATCCTTGTGCTTGGAGCTTTTATCGAAGTGGCAACAAAGGTCGATCACCAGTTGTTCAAAATATATGGATATTTTTTGGCCGCCTTTTTGGCGCATAAATGAGCTAGATGACATTCACAACCAACAGGGTAAACACCGAGATTCACATACGCTATCTGTTGAAACTGATGTTTTTACCTAACATTACCGAAGTATTATCGCTAGAAAATGCTAAGCGGTTTTTCCAATTGGTTACATAAATCTTCATTTTTGCGTCTATTTCATCATAAGTGTTTCTTGCTGTAACCTGATTGCATACCGCAAAGTCAAGAGAGACAGTTAAAAAAATGCCCTATGGATAAATTGGTTTGTGTTTTGCATGTAGAAAGAATAAGCCTGCGCATAGCAGCCATGGAGTTCAAGAACTATATGGATATTATGACTTCCTTTGATTTTTCAAATTTTCATTTTTCAAGGTTTCAATTTGTTACACGAGGATTCGGAAATCACTCAAACATTTTTTAACCCTACCTTGCACAACTAAATTTTGCTGCAATGTCGGAGTCGAGAAACATTTGCTTGAAAAGTGGACCGGCATGATCAGCCGCACTTAGAAGTATGTTGTGCTCAATCAAGAAACTGGTAAACAGCACTTCTGATTTGATCTGCTAAAACCGAAGAGACGAAAATGCTATAAAATACATAATCGTTTTGAAACCCAAACAATCTTGTCAAATTCTGACAACTGCTAATATTATTATGAAGCAGCGAAAATGTAAGCGGTAGATGCCGTTTTATACTTAAAAATAACAATGCAATGAAGCAAATCCAGTTTTTCCAATATTAATCGAGAATTACACTAAAACTGTTAGATTATTCGCTCTAGATTTCTACGCGGGATAGTTGATACGAGTTGCACCCTCATCAGCTATCACGCGATAGAAATCAAGAGCGAATAATCTTAGTGCTCGACCTCATAGTCAAATTGTTAAACAGACCTTTTAGTCCTGCTGTTATCCACCAAAAAAACACTGAATTGTTCAAATTAATGATAAAAGCATGAAACTTTACCACAACACTTATGACCCTAAGACTAACATTTTCTGATATAGGGCCAATCCAAATTAACTTCTGGAGACGAGAACCACGCATGCCAGAAATTCGCTAACATGGAAACGAGGCCAAGCATAAAAAATCCCCTTAAACGACATTGCTTGGGGAAATTTACGACAAAAGCTTTCTAACATAACCAATGAGTCATTTTCCTATCCATTTGTATTCATCTTATGCCATCACGTTACTATCTTCTTTGATAATTATCTTAATATTTGGGTACCCTGTGCTTAAATTTCGATGATGAGTGGTGTGTGAAATATAGAAAAAAAATTGTAGCAATACAAAACAACTCTACGATAGAAGTCCCGCTTATGGGTCACAAAGCTTTAGTTTTATCATCAGGGCTGAGGAATCGCACAGCTTTAGAGATGTAACACAGTCTTTACTTAATACAGCTATTTTACTTTATTAAGTGCGCTTTCGATTCTTCACTTGAATATTACTAATTGTTTTAAAGCATAATTAGAGAGTATAAGGTTTTACCCTCAGCACAAGATATAAATGCTCTAAAAGAAAAATTAATGCCAGAAGCAGCATGGTCACAGGCAACCTTTTAGAGATTTGTTAGGTATTAGTACCCAGGACTCGACTCTTCTTAAAGATGGCAGCCTCCATGTGTACTTACATCTATTTCAGTTAGGTAGAAAGTATTTCAGATTTCCAATTTTAATATCTATTATTTTCCTAGATTACTGCCATACGAAATGGGTTATTTGATCCTTATCACAAAATGCCATTGTTAAAATTTGATATTTTTTGTAATGTTTTTATACCAGTAGATGACTAGATTAGTTTTTCATTGTATGGAGATTAAAAAAGTAAAATAGGGAATTTCGCCTTTTTAGTTAACCATGGATTGGAAGCGTTGCATCATTTGTCAGAAATCCACAGGAGAGAGCTTGCAGTGCCTTACAAATTCTAAAAGGAAAAATGCTGGCACTGGTTACGTTTCATTTGTTCATAATGTAGAGGAATTCCAGAGGCTTGGAATAAAAGCGACTGACTGTGAGCCGCCAATAGATGAACAAACACTACTGCAGAACAAAGTCTGCTGGCATAAATCTTGTAGAGATCGTTTTAATAACACTAAGCTACAGCGTGAAAAGAAAAGAAGACTTGATGAAGATTCAGAAGTGGAAAGACACGAGGTAGAAGAAACCATTTCATCGAGTCCGGTTAAAGCGAGACGATCTAGTGTAGGACGTTACAACTCCCAGACACTATGTTTTTTCTGTGACGATTATGATAGTTCCAGTAATCTTCAAGTCTGAGACTGTGCCGTTCTTCTGAATGACAGAAAACGCATTGCTTAGCTGTCGGCTGGTGACTTAATTGCCATGGAGGCAAAATACCATGTCAAGTGCTTCGTTGGACTTTACAATAGTGCCAGGCCTTTCAAACAACACGATTCAAAACCTGCCGATGATACGCTAATGGATGTTGAGGAGCTTGCATTTGCAGAGCTTATTGTTTATATTGATGAATGTCTAGAAGTTGAAGAGCCTGCAATACTATTGCTTTCAGATTTAGTGAGATATTATACCTCCAAACTACAAGAGCTAGATGTTGAGTATGGCAAAGTTAACGCAACATGGCTTAAGAAGAGAGTGCTAGCACCATTTCCCGACCTTACGGCGCATGTAGAGGGCAGGGAAATTCAACTGGTGCTGCAACATGAAATCGGCGGGATGCCGTCAAAGGTTAAAAAGATGGATTCAGATGCAGTTTATCTGGCTAGAGCAGCAAATATTGTAAGGAGAGAGATCCTGAAAATAAAAAACTCCTTCAACGGCACATTTGTACTAGAATGTCAGGAGAATGCTGTTCCTGTCTCCTTGGTATAACATTAGTTGGTATGATAATCAAAGGTCCCACCACTAAGGCCGAACCTTCGGAAAGCCAGGCCTGTCTCTCTATCGCGCAGTTGATCGTAATCAACAGCATTTCAAGACCTCGCAATCGTCCTGAGGCCACTGGCAGCATACATCATATAAGATCAAGAGAGTACCCGCTGCCAATTTATACTGCTCTGAAAATGCATGGAGCGACCAGAGACAGGTCTCTCATTGGTACCTTCTATAACCTAGGAATGTGTATTTCATACGACAGGTTCCTCTCCATGTCTTCCGAAATAACGAACAGTGTAATTGAAAGGTATCTGCATTAAAGAGTTGTATGTCCATCTAAACTCAGAGAGACACTATTTACCACTGCAGTAGTTGATAACATTGATCACAATCTGAGTTCCACCCCCTCTCAGGGTTCGTTTCATGGTACAGCAGTTCCTCTTGTACAGCATCCTTCCAATGATGAATTGGGATCACCAAGAGATATCGACGTCTTTGATCCTAATAAGTCTCCATCACTAAGACCATCTCTCATCTGCCGTCAAGTTACAGCGAAGCTACACCTATGGCAGTACCAAGCGGTGATTCAAATGCACCCGAGGTACCAAAACAATAATTAGTATCCCGCATTTCCCTTTCAAATGAATGTGACCATGATGAAGACGACTGGCTCCGAAATACCCAGGAACTAGTTGCAAAGGAGAAACTTGAACCCAGAGATTTTGTTTCATGGGCGGCATACAGAGCTTCTAAATCTTAACTTTAAGCCTGCGATAATCTCCTTGCTGCCAGTGTTTGTTGAAAACGCAAATTCGTTTGCTATGATAGCGCACAGTATGCGCGTGGTTAAGTCTGCTGTTGAACATGTCAATCCCTCACAGACACCAGTCATCGCATTAGATCAGCCACTGTTTGCCTTAGCAAAGCAAATTCAATGGACCATTGCCGAGTTCAGCGAAGCGAACCTTGTCGTAATGCTTGGGGGATTGTACATAGAGATGGCGTCCTTAAAAATGCTTGGGAAGTGGCTGAGTGGCAGTGGATGGACAGAACTTATGCAATGCTGGAGTAGCAACACAGGGGGTAGCTGAGTCATTCCTGTCGGCCAGCCATGTGACCCGTACACGACGTGCACACCAGGTGACAGCTGCAAGTCTACATAATAATAATAATAATAATAATAATAATAATAATAAGTCTTTATTAAGCACTCTAAACAACAAACGTGTTTAGTTACAATGATATGAAATCAGCAAGTATAAAACTAATAAACTAACTAAATTACTAACTAAATAACTAATAAGAGAACAAACATCTATTAATAAAGGTCCTTTTGAAACGTTCAGTTCTGACAAGCGGGAGAATATAATTATGGCGCCTCTTACGTAGCGTATCCATTGTTCGCTCTGGTGGCAAAAGGTCATCTAAAGCTGTTGGAAAATCGCTGTCGGTGATCTTGGCCCACAACTTCTTATCTTTTAGAATGATAATATTTTCAATCGAAAAAAGCTCTTTACAGTAGCCAAGCTTAAAAGCTCTCTTGAACAGCCTGTCTATGCGACTCAGATACTTATGATAATACGCGCAGCCCCATACTTCTACAGCATATGTAAATATAGGTAGAATAAGACTGATAAAGAGAAGATGAAGATGATCCAGCGGCAGTCCATAGAATTTACAAACACGTAAGATGTACAGACGACTACTGGCTTTCGATATAATATTATCAAAATGTAAGTCCCAGTTACACGGATCAGATTGAAAAGTTACACCCAACAACTTCAGACATGGTTTACGCTCTATAGAAACCAGAGGAGCAGGTAAGGCCTTAGTGGATTTGGATTTGCCTCTAAGAAGCATCTCCCACGTTTTCTTGAAGTTTAGTTGCATACGATTAGCAGATGTCCATGCGACGATCGATCGGACCTCCTCAGCTGCTAAATTGCCGTTATTAGCCAGCGATTTTACTGGAATACTTAATGTTAAATCATCAGCATATTTCACAAGTAAATTCTGATTTGGTAGAATGGCCTTAATATCATTGACCATAATAGAAAATAGTATAGGGCCTAAAACTGTCCCCTGAGGGACACCTCTATTGATATTTACATAGTCCGTGACAATGGCATCAACAACAACTCTTTGTTTCCTGTTCTGTAAAAACTAATAATCCAATTGGTCACGTATGGATTTATATCAAGTGTTTTCAACTTAGAGCAGAGGATATCATGAGGGACCGAATCAAAAGCTTTGCTGAAATCAAAAGAGAAGATTCTAACACAATCAAAACCCGACTCAAGCCATTTCAGCCAAGCATATTGACACTTAATTAAGGCCATTGTCGTATTGTGGCCTTTGCGGTATGCAAACTGGTCGAAGCTAATGAAGTTCTTCATATATTGAGATAATTCTTGTCTGTATACAAGACGTTCAAAAACCCTCATTATTACATTAGTCAGCGAAATAGGCCGCAACTGTGTGCAATTTTTAAAGTTGGGCTCTTTAGGCAAGGGAGTTATGTCGGCCAATTTCCAAAGATCAGGCACAATGTGATTTTCCAAAGAACAGTTGAAAATATGGGTAACAACAGGAGCGAGGTCGTACGCAAACTCTTTCCAGAACCAGTACGGGATTCCATCTGGACCAGAGGCAGTTCTTTTTAATTTCAGTAGACTCCTGGTAACACTGGAGACCGTTAAAACAGGCATCTCGCTTGATTCCGGGATAGTGACAGTGTCAATGGGTTTATAAAGGGATCAGTGTTAATGGAACAGAAAAATTATTGATCTCGCTCGGGGAGATAATTGAGCTTACTTGCGAGTTGGTAGACTTCCTTCCTGTCAGGGAATTGACTGTTGACCACCAAGATTTGGATCCTGCACTATGTTTCTCAAAATTCCCTTTAACTGCTCGAACTTGATTATCTCTGATCAACTTGTTGATTTTCTCTTGAAGAGTTTGGATCTCAATCGAAACAGAATATCCTGACATGTTACTTCGCCGAATCAATTTTCGCCGTTGGTCCAGTAGATGTTTGATTAGAGGAGAAAAGAACGGAGGGTCCCTATTAGACACACGTACTGATATACCCGGAAAACACTCATCAAACATGGTCTTAATCTTGGTACAAAAAAGATTAAGTTTTCCATTCACATCTCCGCATTGATAAACATTGTCCCAGTTATGAAACTTCAACAGTTTATCCATATCCAGTTTATGATGATCACGAACATCTCTGAACATCACAGTTTTCCTTTCAGCCTTAAGTGGGATTCTGGGATATACCAGGACCACAGAGTGGTCAGATCGAACTAGTCCTTGAGTGACCGATACTTTCCTCCAAAAATGTGGGACGTTAGTAATCAAAACATCCAAAATTTTGTTCTTTCTTGTCGGTGTATTTACCATCTGGAATAAATTTAGTTGTGTAAGAAAATCATTGTAATCTAGCTGATTGAGGTCACCACAAATTATAAGGTTGCTGTTAGGATTACCAGTCAATAAATGATCACAACTTTTTGTTAGATGTTCCAATAAATCATCAGGACAATATGGCGGATCTGGAGGATGATAAACAGCAGCCACATAAAAGCTTGAGTTGGGAGTTGTAATTTTAGCCCACAAACATTCAAAGGCATTATAAAAAACGCTGTCTAATCGTTCCAACAACCAATCGCTCCTACAGACAATAGCAACACCACCGCCTGACCGGTCAGTTCTATCCTTTCGCAAAATTGAGTAATCCTTCGGACAAACGAGATGAGATGGAAAATTTGGTTTAAGCCATGTCTCGGAGATGATGCAAATATCGCAGTTGTTTGAGTGCAATTCCATATGCAAAGCAGAAGCAGCATCAACTTTCACAAGTGATCTTGCATTAATGACCATACATTTGGGGATTATTCGGGGTAAAGAAGAAGAGTGAGTAGAAATGAAATGCAAATTTGTATCCTTGGGTCGAAGTCGTGCGCGTTTGGTCGTTGATAAAAACAGTGGTCAGTGACACGAACTGGAATCTTGTGATGTTGTTGACGAGATCCAAATCTAGAATTAACACCAGCTCTACGACCTCTAGCTCTATAAATTCCCAATGACTTTAAGCGATGAATAAGATAATAATCCAGTTTAACCTTAGGACAACAGGAGCGAAGTTGAAATAAATTACGTCGACTGAAAGAAAATCTAGGTCTTGAAGTTTGAAGTGAAGCAGTCGGCATGTAGTTAAAATTTTCCGGACCCGGGTTAATTTCAACATCCACTGCAATAGATAGGTCCTTGATGAAACCTCTTTCAGACAGAGCAGCAACCGTCGAACCATGCTTTGACCATTTGGTGATCGGTAACTTAGTTGAGCGTCTTGCAACAGCAAGGTCTTGACCGCAGCGAGAAGCAGAAAATAGCTTTCGACTGACGCTAAAAGGGCCTTTAAAGGTAGATGGAGGCGAACAGATTGAATTGTGCTTGTCAAGATACTGAACGAACAAGGTAACAAAGCACAAAAGCTTAAAAAAACAACAACGACGACAGTAAGCGGCAGCCATCTTGGCGCACATACATCTATTCTCACATATTCTGATGAATAAAGCCTACAGTGAATATCAAGCCAAATCAAGAGAGAATAAGCAAGAGAACATGTTTTCGAAAGAAGAGTGGAAAGATGAAATGACAAAGAAGTCACCGCAGTTTCAGTAGTGGTCTTCAGTGCTAAATCTGGAACTAATCTGTCAGCGCCTTGTCAGAGCCTTCTGAGAAGGTGACTTCCCCATGTACATCAATGTCTTGTGAGAGATAGTGCCATGGATGTTTCTGATGGACCATTCTAATTACGCCAGGTGGCTTTCAGTTCACTACAGAGACATGCGTGTCCTTCCATTCATGCATGCAGGTGTGTACAAATATTTCAACAAAGGCTACTTGGTTGTGCACGAGACCACGAAGCTGTTCTCGGCCATAGCCTTTGATCATGCGCACGGGAAGGAAAATGCCAATGTTAAAGGGGAAGGAGGCTCAGTTGGTCTCACGGAGAACCCATCAGCTTTGAGAAGATGGATGGTAGCAGATCCTGAGCTCTCTAGGATGATTCAAGAGTTCGAAGGTAGCAACAATGAAACAGAGGAAAATGACCATCATGAGCAGAAGTCAGGTATCCAGAATGCATTCTGCAAAAACGTACTGAATACGCCATCGTCATTGAAGAACTTGGCAACCCGTTTTTGGAAGGAGGAGGAAACCTGATAGCGATCCATACCAGGGATATCATGGATGATACGGTGATGAAAACCGTTTGCAATGTTACAAAAATTGGTGAGGAACAGTTCACTTTGTTTTTCAGTGAGCGGTTCGTCGAGAGAAGCAAGCCTGTTACACAACCCCTCAAGAAGGATAATCTTCCCACTTTCACGTCCAGGAAAAAAAGACCGTTTCAAAAGAAAGGGCGAAAGTGGAAGTTTTGAAGGAGGACTGTGCTTTATTTTTGCGGCTTTAAATAGCATGTCAACTTCGTGATGGAAACTTGGAAGATTTCTTCAAGTATGAGAATCAACCATGGCGGCCATCACTTTCACAGCTTGGCCAGCTGAGAGGAGGACAGAAGGCAGACTTAGTGAGGTGTTTGCCCAGCACATCAGCACAGATTGCAACTCAACCAGTCGCTGATGCAGTTATTCTTGATGGAGCAGTTGCTGTGCAGATGCTACAACCAAGAATAGCACGCACGTTCGATGAATACTTTAGTATCGTAATCGCCCCTTACATCCTCAAACACTTTGAAACAGCGAGAGGGGTTGACCTAGTCTGGCATGTCTATCAGGATGATTCACTGAAGAGATCATTGCCAGAAAAGAGAGGTTCTGGACAACGGTGTAAAGTATTACCATCAACAAGAATTCCTGCTGACTGGAAAGGCTTTCTGCGAGTTGATGATAATAAAGACAAACTTTTCAAACTCATTGCAAACAAGGTATGTACTTGGTATTATCTACTTCTATAACAGAAGTGGGTCTTTCTTAACTGACTTCAAACACCTTATTATACACGATTTAATCACAAATATTTGTATCTATTTTATTTGAGGTAGTTACGCTGGTGGTTCCCAAGGGTAAGAGCATCTTCTCTACCTGTGGTGAGGGTGTCATAGCGCGTAATGAAAGAACGGAGATCAGCTTACTTGCGTCTTGCACATATGAAGAGGCAGATACTCGCCTTATGGTCCTTGTACTTGATGCAGCCTCAAGAGGACATCGACGAATTAGAATTAGAAGCAATAATAAAGATGTTGTTGTACTTGTTATTTCAGTGGCTGGCACTCTTCCAACAGATGAACTCTGGGTCACCTATGGACCTGGAAAGAATGTACAGAATATCCTTGCACATGCCATAGCAATGTCCCTTGGTCCTGATAAAGCCTCAACCCCACCAATGTTCCATGCACTAACAGGGTGTGATACTGTTTCGTTTTTTGGAGGGCGTGGAAAAAAACGGCTTGGGATGTGTGGAAAGTGTTTCCTCAACTGACACCAGTGCTAAAATTCCTCAAAGCGTCGCCACAAGAGATCGCAGAGGAATGCATGGCTGTGAAAGTAAACCAGGCGCGGCAAAAGCTCTTTTCAGCAATTTCTTTGCTTGGATGTAAATGGTAATTTGCATAGCCCTTCAGCTCCCTTCATCTTGCTTTCATGAAGTATACTTTTTATGAGGCGCTCAACATTGGCTCTCCCTGGGTGTGGACAGGTAACGTCTCGGTTGCATATTACACAGTGAAAACTGTGTGGGTCGTTTAATGCCACAATGAAGCTCCACCCTTTGGACCATGCCTTTTGGAAACAACTGCGGTACTTAGCCGCCCCTTGACTTGCTTGTTTTGGCTTCTCGTCAGATGGAATATGTGTTGATATAGATGGATGAGGTTTTGCAGAGGGTTGAAGCTTAGATGATGGAGGGGGCGTACGTGACGAAGGAGGCGTGGTTGGTGACGGAGGTGTGGCGGTTGACGGGAGAGATGTGGTTGATTGAGGTCTGGCGGTTGATGGCGGAGGTGTGATTGATAGCGCAGGACTGGCGTTTGAAATTGATGGTAAGTGGTTGTTTCTGCTTAGTCGGAGAGGCAGAGTTTCCTGGGGTGCCCACCTTCCGTTTTGCGCCTCTAGACGTGGCTGTAAACCATTCTCCGCTCTCTCTCGGCCGGTAGAAGGGGCACAAAATAATTTGGACCCCATCGAACAGATACATTGGTTACAAGTGGACTTCGCGGATGCCGATGGTGTCACGTTAATGTTCCTGAGGGCCCTATCTGTGCCAGCATTTTGGACAGCAGGGTACTCCGAATGCACAGGAAAACCAAGGACATTGACAAGAGCAAAAATATGCCACATATTGGCAAAGGTACTGGATTAGATAGTTCTTAGTGCTTCGTTCCGGTAGCATGAAGAAGAATTCCTTGAGATAAAGTGGACGGAGCTTGGCAACAAATTTTTGACGACTGCATGTGCGCCCGTTAAAAATTGCAGATAATTGTCGTCTAAATCCTTTTTTTCTTTATTTGCTAACTCCAAAATTGACCGCATACGGAGTTCGGTGTGATGGTCTTCACTTCCGAATAAGATGGTGGAAACCGCCTTGAAAAGGCAGTTCCCATCTCCAAAGCACATCACTGGCCTCAATTCTTTTGGGGGTATCATCCAGATACAAGGTTGCCGCTACGATGTCAATGGCGAATTGGTTGGTTGCAGCCAATGTATATAATATCACGAGATAAATTTCATTTAGGCAAATATAATTGAACTTTTCTTTTACAATTCATGTCATTAAGAACCGAGAGGAAATCACCATGCTCCTCTCCTCGTAAGAGAAAGGATCTGCATTATTTAGCAATAATTTTAAAGGAAGATAATGATAAGGCAGCAGTTTCCAGAGCACGTTGTTCTTGTAAAGGAGGAAGCAGTGGACATTGCAATCATGTTTTGGCATTGTTATATCAACTAAATGATTATTCGTGTTTAGACATTCAAGATATACCTGTTATGTACAGTATCACTCGACAGCCATATCGAATCTAAAACCTCATGGTTTATTGCATCCCATGATGCTTATCATACTTTCGTGATAGCATACATGACATCTCCCTTTTTTTTTAAACAATCAACAAAGAAACTACTGTGACAAACTGTAAACAACTGCATGCCAAAAAAAATAAATAAATAAAAGAAAGCTTAATCATAGAAAGCAAATGAATTCATGGTCAACATCTTTAACTTAACAGTTCCTAAAAGTTCACAGTTCATAGTCTTTCAGGTATTTGGGTTGCTTAACGACCCGACCTGACCGAGTACGAATTTCTGCTGGCAGACCATGGTCTGTACTTGCTCCTGGTCTACAAGGTCTGCTTTGAATACTAGTTGGGGTGGGAAGAGTGGCTTTCTGAGGTTGTGCGATCTGTGTTGCATCAGTCCCTTTTGCTTGTGAAACTCTCATGCGAAGATGACGTCGATTTCTTCGGTAGAATTTACCCTTAGGTGTCTGAACAATGTACGACCTTGGTTTGTGATGCCTGTTTACAATTGTAGCTTGGATCCATTCATTCTCATGATGCACTGACACCTTCTCACCTGGAGTTAAGGGGGGTAACTCTTTCCCACTGTGTTGGTCATAATAGGACTTCTCACTCTCCTTTCTCTTTTGAAAGTGCTGCTGAATTTCTGGTGATTGTTGGGGTTTAAGCAAATCAACCTTTATTGGTAGGGAAGTTTTTAATCTTCGACCCATGAGCAGCTGAGCAGGTGAAAGGTTTATACCATCCAAAGGAGTGTTTCTATAGTTCAGCAATCCCTTGTAAGGATTTTTTGTAAGTAGTCTACACACAGCGGGTGATAAACTCCATAATATTCAAACAGGTCAGTTCCAACTTTCGACCACATTCAGTCAGGGAGGTCTTGAATGATAATTGGCTCTCTTGGTTGAGCTCTCTGGAACTGAGCGCACAAGGAACACTGCGACACTTTCTCTTCAATTTGGGATGACATCCCAAGCCAGAAGAGAATGTCTCGGCCACGCTTCCTACATTTTACTACGCCTTGGTGTTTCTCGTGGATGAGCTCTAACATTTCTTTTCTCTTACTCTGAGGAACAATAAGCTTCTGTGCTTTTAATAACAACCCATCAATTTCTGAAATTTCATCAGCACGACCAATACTCGTGGACAGTTAATGGTAGCTCCTGTTTGTGACAAGGCCATCCATTACGAACTACTGTGCTTAAGACTTGCAGGGTTGGATCAGCTGCAGTAGCTTGCTGGAATTCACAGTACCTTTCTTGTGAAATGGGAAGGTGAGCTGTAAGCTGAACTTCATTTACTTCCAAATCTGGGATGAGGCTTTCTTTAGTCTCTTCCAAGTATGCTCTGCTTAGTGCATCAGCAACAGAGAGTTCAGATCCTGGTACGTATTTCACCTTTAAGTCATACCGCTGCAATATCAGCATCATCTTCTGTAGCCTCAGTGGTGCTTCATGCAAGGGCTTGTTTGAGATGTATTGCAATGGCTTGTGGTCTGTCTCGACGTCTGTTGTTCTTCCATAGATGTACTGATGAAATTTCTGCACTCCATACACAATTACAAGGGTTTCCTTTTCTATTTGTGCATACCGCTGCTGGGTTGGCGTGAGGGCTCTTGATGCATAGGCTAGGGGCTTCTCATCTTGCAAAAGGACAGCACCTAGCCCTTTGAACTTGCATCTACAGAGAGGCATAGTGGCCTACTTGGATTATAGTAACCAAGGATTGGTGTTAAGGAGACCATCTGCTTTAGCTTCTGAAAGCTTTCTTCTTGCAGGTGATCCTAGTGCCATGCAACATTCTTCTCTAATAATTCTCTTAATGGTGCACTTTCAGTGGCCATATTTGGCATGAACTTTCCCAGATACTGAATGAATCCGAGGAATGTTTTTTCAGTTCCTTAGCATTCTCGGGGGTTTCATTTCTTTTACAGCCCTTATCTTTTCTGGATCTGGTTTTAAACCATCTTTACTTAGGACATGGCTAACATAGGGAACTCTTCTTGCTTAATTTTTTATTTCTTTGCATTGAACTTGAGATTGACTTCTCTTGCTCTTGTTAACGCTTGTTTCGGTCTTGCATCATGTTCTTCATCATCTTTACCCCATATTAGGAGGTCGTCAACAATCACTTTTATACCTTCCATATCCGCGAACAGCTCTGACATGTGATTCTGAAACACTTCAGGGGCTGATTTTATTCCAAAAGGTAACCTTGTGAACTGTTATCTTCCAAAGGATGTATTAAATGTGCAAAGCTTTGAGCTAGCTTCATCTAATTTCACTTGCCAATATCCTGAGGTGGCATCAAGGACTGAAAACACTTTTGCTTGAGGCATATCAGCAACAACTTCTTCCATAGTAGTCATTGGAAAGTGTTCCCTCCTGATTGCTTCATTTAAATCTCGCGGGTCAATGCATATGCGACGCTTGTTGGGTTTTACGACTGCTACCATGCTATTCACCCAGTCAGTAGGCTCTTTCTGCTTAACTACCACTTCTGCCTTCTCCATCCGATCAAGCTCTTCTTTGATTTTCTCTTTTAGGGAAACAGGCACTTTTCGTGGTGGATGTACCACAGGGGAAATGCTTGAATCAACTTTGATTGTGTGTTCACCTGGAAGGCAACCTAGGCCTTGAAATAGATCTGAGTATTGCTCATAATCTTTTGAGTCATTCCCCCAGGACACGTTGAGAGACTGTTGCTGAAGTAGGTGCACTCGGGCATGAAGACCAAGGTCTTTTCAAGTTTGGGCACCAAGTATCGTAGGGGGCTTCCATTTCAACTACATGGAAATTTACTTGAAAAGTGTTGCCTTTACATTCACAAGGTAATGTCACTACTCCTTTGGTAGGAAACTGATGGCCTGAATAGGATTTCAGTTTGACTTGAGTCTTCACGCAGGGGTAGCGAGAAGCAAAGTCTTGCAGAACTTTAGCACCAGTATCTAGTTGGACCTTTACAACTTTGTCTTCTATCTTAAGGTTTTCACACCATTCACTTGTGTCTTCAGAATTAACTGAGGTGATGCATCCAATAAAGAACTCATCATCACTACATTCATCTACACAGTTCACTCTTTTCTTATCTGAGTTTTTCGAATGGCAAAAACTGGCAGAATGGTTGAACTTGTGACATTTTGAGCACTTCTTTCCTTGAGCTGGGCATTTGCCTTTGTCATGTTGATAGCCACATCTACCACAATCTTTTCCAAACTTCTTTTGAACAGGGGTTTTTTATTTCTTTGTCTTCACACCATTTATGCTTGGATTTCCTGTTGCCAAGGTCTGCAACTGAGCTTGTGATATTTCTTCCGTTTAGGCAATGTCAATAGCTTTTTCTTGGGTCAGGTCCGAGCCTTCGTGAATGAGTTTTTCTCGTCCTTTTGACGAATAGCAGCCAATCACAACTCGGTGTCGCACCATTTCATGAGGGTCAGCGTAACCACAATCTTTAACTAATAGCTTCAACTCAGTAAGAAACTGTTCAAATGCTGTTCGGCTTGTTGCGCTCTCAAATGAAATTTATACCTGGCAAACACCTTGTTCGATCTGGGCTTCACATAGGTTTAAAATCTTGTGTAATACGTCTCGAGTTTCTTCGCTTCATCTGCAGTTAGTTCCCACGTATTGCATATGTCACGACCTTTGTCTCCTGCCCAAATTATCAAATAATTGCACTTTTATTCTTCGCTTTTACGCTTTAGAGGTCCTCCAAACGTGAACTCGCAATGCTGCCTTAATGCTTTCCACGTAGTTGGCAGATCTTTGCTCGTCCAATCCATCTTTGGAGCAGAGTTTCCTTCCATGTCGTCTCTTTCGTCTGATGGAGAGTATAGCGAATCACTGTTGTCGTTTAGTGCCGTGTTAACTTTGTGTTTTGCAGGAATTCAAATCTCACTTCCGACACCATGTTATGTACAGTATCACACGACAGCCATATCGAATCTAAAACTTCATGGTTTATTGCATCCCATGATGCTTATCATACTTTCGTGATAGCATACATGACAATACCTAATGACGTTACTTGTACTAGTCGCCCTCAATCGTGGCATATCCGCAGGGCTTCTTTCATCTGCCCTTTACCTGTGATGGGGATTCATTATGCCCGTGCTAAAACCGATTGTGATGAAGAAAGAAAGAGAGATCCTGTAAAATGTAAACCGTACGATGCAAGAAGCCCTGCCACGAGAAAAGGTCTTCCAAAGTGCCATATGATGGAAAAGGTCGATAATTTGACACGGAAAGAAATCCCTCCTCCATTTTCTTATTTATTAAGTGATCAAAAGCAATCCTTCCTGATGAACACAGTATTTGGAAACGTTCTGCTTGGTGCTTGCTTGGCATATCAGTTACAAGACCATGGTCGACCCAATACAAGGTTTGTTAGTAGCCTCATAAGGGGCAATTTTGTTGCAGACAATGTAACCGTGCGATGTTCTGAGTTTACTGATCTCCCAGTCGGTATTGACAACAGGACATCCTTTGATTTGACTGAACTGAACATGTTAAGCCAGCCTGACTTGACTTCTATCTTCACTGACCACATAGTGATAGATAAAAGTGAATCTAACTCTTTAGAACAGAGAACAGTGTTGCAAGGTGAATCAGCTGAATGTTAAAAAAAGCATCAGTTCAGACTTACTGCATCAAATTTTGCAAACGTTAATTCAAGGATTCAGAGGCCTTCAGAGTCAAAGCTAAAGAGCATTTTTTGCCCCAAGGATTTGTCTAACATACGAGCTGTTTCGCATGGGAAGGGAAAAGGAAAGATTGCATGAACAATATATGCCAGAAAAATGCAATAGCAAGTACCAGGTTTTGCAATATTTGATGCCGGCATCTCTGTTCATCCAAAATTTCCTTATCTCAGTGCAACCCCAGATGGAAAAGTGTTTGATCCATCATCAAGAAGCAAATTTGGATTGCTGGAGATTAAGTGCCTTATTCAAAACAAGGGGATATCAGATCCAGGCTTTTACATTGAAAAAGGCAGAGCTGATTTTTTTCTTGAGAAAACCCATTTCTATGAGGCTCAAGTACGAGGGCAGTTGGCCCTCACTTGGTTACCATGGTGTGATTTTTGTATAGATTTGTCAGACGTTAATGAAATCTGTGTTGACAGAATTAATTGTGATTCTGAATACTGTGAAAATGAGCTGTCGCCCAAATTGAAGAACTTCTTTTTCAATTATGCACTTTCATTCATTGTTGGGCAAGCAAAGAGAGCTCAAAGCTGTTGAGGAATCAATAAAGAATTAGCACTTGTAGGTAGCCATACATAATCCTCAATGAAAGCGAGTTTCTTAACTTTCATTTTTAAGCAGTACAGATACATCTATTTCATTGTAACATTCAACTGGTGTATAGTTTATCAATAAACCAATTTCAATACATTAAAATTCATATTTGGCTGCGAGGCTTGGGGGAATCAAACAAAAGAGATCATCATGAGGCTCAGTAATCAATAATACATTTCTTTTGTTTTATTCCCACAAGCCTCCGAGCCAAGTATGAATTTTACTACATCAAAATTGGTCTATTGTTTATGTCTTGTAACATGTTCAACTCTGCTAGCTGAATTAATATTTGAAAAAATGATCTATCTTTTGTTAAATTAAACTGTAGATAGAACGTGACGAAAAACCGAGAAGTTTTCTTAGAATACATTGTTTACTTAAATAGCTTTTTTAATGATATTATTAGGTCATGCAAGAACAGGGTTTTGAAAATTTGAACATAGGCAAGCCACTGTCCATATTTGGTTGATACATCCAAACATAGAAACTGGAATGATTGAATGAAAGATTCAAAACCCTCTAACTTTGCAAATAGTTCTCTCCACATGTATGCGATGCCTTGCAATTGTTTGGGTTTTAATGAAATCATCTTCTTGAAAACCAACCTTGTCTTTCGAGAATGGAAGGATATTAAGTTGCAAACCTAGTTTCTTTAAATCATTTTGAATATCAAAACCTTTGTCAGCCATGAATGCATCCCCTATATTTATTTCATGGACCATTACTTTTTAATCTAGGATATCTATGCAACCACTTCTTTGAACTATTTGCCTATCACTGATAGAACCCTCATAGAGTTGAGATATAAACATGATCCCCGCTTTAGGATCGACACCAAGAAGACAATCTAATGTTGTGTGAGATTTATATGTCCTGTAACTTTCACTGTGCTTCTGAAGTGCACTTGGGACTTCAATCATCAGTTCAGTTGCATCAATAATCGCAATTTTATTTGGATACTTCTCAAAGAACTCTGCAGGTGCGTTTTTGTAAAATAATATCTCTGTGTGGCCATATTTTAATGCTTCCAAGTGTGACATACAGATAGTTTATCCAGGTAAGGAATATATTGTTAACCGTACTCTCGGCAATATTAAATTTTTCTCCCAGATCAACGACGCTTACACCCGTTCGAAGTTTCATTAGTACAAGAAGGTACTTATCCTCGACTGGCAGTTTGTGTGCTGCAGGAGGTATTAAACTAATGTAATTTTGCTCTTCATCGTTAAAATCATCTGGGTCGTCATAATCACCATCAAACATTTGTTTCTGTATCGGTGACAGTACTTTTTCTTGCTTCACTATCCCAGTAAATTAACAGTTTTCTATCTAGGTTTGGCAATAAAAACTGAAACGTGTTCATGGACTCACCATGAGAATTAAATCCAGTATAGTGAGTAAACAGCTTTTCTTAAGAGAAGCGTCTTTTCTTAGAATGATTTTTATCTTTATTCCACGCAAAATTTGAAGGAACTGCACCGTCCTTGAGTCGTTTTTTCACTGAATAAGGATTCAGGTAGTCTTCTATCACAAAGTGTTCGCCGCATATCTTGATGTGCTCGTTGACGTTCAAATATCGAGGATCCTGTCTCATTTTTGTGATCCAAACAGACAATAAGGTCGGCCCATCTAATGGTAATTTATGCTATGGAAGACCGTTTTGATAAGAGCTATTATAGCATTCTCTGGTGCAACAATAGTGAGGCATGGTTAATTCTGTTTCGGTCAAGCTACATAGCTTACCAACACATGTATTTGTTGTTTTACTCAATTCAGGTCACGTGACAAATGAGCGCGCGTAAACCGAATTTGTTTATGATGTGTTGTTTTGTGGGCTTTGATTTTGAGGGAATGATGAGGGTGGGATATGGTTCAGTGGCTTCAAAGGGAAATACACTTTTCTCTCTATTTTTTTTTTCACTTGTAACTTGGCTGTTACTTTCTTGCGACTTCGCTGCGACTTTCCTGCTACTTTCTCGCGACTTAGCTGCGACTTTCCTGCTACTTTCTCGCGACTTAGCTGCGACTTTCCTGCTACTTTCTTGCGACTTACCTGCGGCTTGCTACTTTCTTGCAACTTAGCTGCGACTTAACTGCGACTTAGCTGCTACTTAGCTGCTACTTAGCTGCTACTTTCTTGCTACTTTCTTGCGACTTAGCTGCGACTTTCCTGCTACTTTCTTGCGAATTAGCTGCCTGGCAACCTTGCTAGGCCGCGTGTGTCGGCACCCAGGTTGTTTTATTTGAAAAGAACGTGAACTCCTATCAATAATCGGTAGTCTGTTTTGCCTTGGCTGTACAGTATAGCTATGAAGTTTTTCGCCGTTTTCACTTTCAATATGGTGTGCTCTACGTCGCTGGCAGTGCTTCCATCTTACTCTCCTGCAATAAGGAACAATGCAATAATGCGTGACGAGATAATCGAGAACTATTTTAGTCTCGGGCTTACTGCACCAGAAATCGCATTATTTCTCGTAAGTGTACATGGTATCGGGATCTCGTTAAGACAACTGAAAAGAATACTCAGACGGTTGGGATGTACAAGACGCCGGCGTCGAAGTTATTTGAATGAAGTGGTAGAAGCAGTCGAGGAGGAACTGAGGGGGAGTGGAAGCCTTCTCGGATATAGAAAATGCATCAATCAGCACGGTCTTATTACTACGCGGGAAGTCGTTCGACATGTTTTGAGGGTTTTAATCCTAAAGGGGTGAAGCATAGGTCACAGCATAGATTACGTCGACGAATTTACAGGTGTAAAGGGCCAAATTACTTCTGGCTCATTAACGGCTACGACAAACTAAAACCGTTTGGATTCTGCAATTAATGGCTTTAGTCAAAGGATCCTATGGCTGGAGGTTGCATCTTCAAACAACGACCATCGTATAGTAGCTCAATATTTCTTAAACTACGCAAGACTGTTAGGAGTTACGGCAAGGATTGTACGTGGAGATAGGGGATCTGAGATCGGGAACTTAGCAGCTTTTCAACGGCCAATATGGCCATTGGGCTGTGTCAGGTTCGCAAAATATTCAGTGTTCTCAAATGTACATCGCAAGGTATTTATCGTTGTTCAGATCTAATGCCGCAATCTGCCAAGGCTTGGAAATCTCCATCTGTTGCCATCCTCACGGCTGTAAAGTCCATCTGTTGTAAGTAAAAATGAGTTTACCATAGAGAATACTGTGGAGTCAAACCAGGTCAGTAAAATATCCCACTTGAGGTGTAATACGAATAGGTAAAATATGAAAAAAATACTTGCAGGTCCTATGGGTATATTTCCCGAGGTAAGAAACACAATAAGGAAAAAAAGTCAACATATACATATAGAATGATACGTGGACATACACAGATATGGAATTTCTCTGCATATTTCACGCAGCAAACAAGTAAGATCTTGAGTTGAATACAAGAAGAGAAACTCTATATCTACAAGCAACATTCGCGATATATATCATGTTGAACATATATATGCCATATATCAGTCCCAACATTTCCCATACATCATATTCATCTATTTTGGGATGTTACATAAATCAGAAGGTAAAGGACTACATGCTTGTCCAATTTGGAAGTAACTAAATTTAAAAAAATGTTTCTTTTATCCAATTACTTCCAAATCAATTACTTCCAGATTGGACTCTAGGAGTGATAAATAGCTGCCAATTTAAAATTCTTTTGTATTTAAATTAACCTCACTAAACTCGTTTGGGAGTAAAAATTCTTTCGAATTATTAACTCAAAACCGAGGTTAGTCAGGCTAGTTTTAATACTTACAAAAAATATATAATTGGCAGCCATTTATGAAATGGGTCAAAGCTATTCCCAATAAAGCACAAACAACCGTCCTATCTTACAGATAAATAATTAAACGTTTCTCGAAACTAAACCAGACGTAACAAGAATGTAAAAAAGGTGTAAAAACCCAATCTGAGATACCAAACTTAGGTACGCCACAATCTCACGTCCAAGTACCTGTGATACACAAGATGTAGAGGAAACAATTCGTAATGAATTCTTACCTCTTCGTCTTTGAACTGTTGGCAAACGCCATCTTCAACCTTGCGTTTGTCTTTTAAACAGTTGAAAATCTAAAGAGAATGAAGCTAAATATAAGTTGTCATAGCTTCAACATTTCTAATTTGTACGAAAGACAGGAAAAAGTGTCAAAATACCTGGTCGATCTCCGGTAACTGTTCTTTTGGACAATCCATGTTGTTTCTCCGCAATGCAACCTGACCTACCGTCTCACGTGGCCCAGCTAGGTAGCCGGGTAGCTAAATCGCAAGAAAGTAGCGAGAAAGTCGCAGCTAAGTAGCGAGAAAGTAGCAGGAAAGTCGCAGCTAAGTCGCAAGAAAGTAGCAAGTCGCAGCTAAGTCGTAAGAAAGTAGCAAGAAAGTTGTAGCTAAGTCGCAAGAAAGTAGCAAGAAAGTCGCAGCTAAGTCGCAAGAAAGTAGCAAGTCGCAGCTAAGTCGTAAGAAAGTAGCAAGAAAGTTGCAGCTAAGTCGCAAGAAATCAGCAGGAAAGTCGCAGCTAAGTCGCAAGAAAGTAGCAAGTCGCAGCTAAGTCGTAAGAAAGTAGCAGGAAAGTCGCAACGAAGTCGCAAGAAAGTCGCAGCTAAGTCGCAAGAAAGTAGCAGCTAAGTCGCAAATGAAAAAAAAAAAGAGAGAGAAAAGTGTATGTCCCTTTGAAGCCACCATATTCTGGTGACCAGAATGGCTCAAACTGCTTCCTTTTTCGCCAATCAGTCAGTCCTTAGGACTATCTCCACGTGCCATTTATTGACGTCATTCCTTCTTTGTTTGATACACCAAATACTGATGTAATATAGGCCTTTTTTTCTACACCAAAGAACTCTAGCATGACATACATAATTTCTAAAGGGAATGTGTCAACATGTCTGATACTGTATTACTTATAAAGTCTGGATTTGAGGTAGGGATTGAGGAATGGGCAGGCAAGAACCCAAAAACAGTGCTTTTAAAGACATCAACCATGTTTATTTCAAGTACATTTCATGGTAGGTATAAATTTTAAGGTAACATTTGACGCAAAGAAGTTTACTCTAGTTCCATATTTGGCAGTTAGCTTAAAAGACATACTCACCTTGTCCACTAAATAGGGAAAGGCTGCCATGCCTCCTCAACATAGCAAGTGCACGATAGATAAGCGTATACATATATAGGGTGATGATAATAGTGCCAAGATAGCCAGAACCACTTCCTGCCACAGCTACCATTTCCTTTCCCCAGTTCAGAACCTGTTGAAGAAAAAAGACAATTTAGGGCATGTGTTAAAAAAGACTTTCAAATGGTCTTAGCCCATTCATCTATTTGATTTTTTCCCAAATAATTGAACACAAAGTTGTGGTCATCATGAACAAAATCATTACTTTTTATCTCTATTTTATATAGTTCTGCTCTAACCTTCTCTTCAAATTTCACTAACTTTCCTTCTGTCAGATTCCTCTTAAGGTTTCAGAGGGATCTTACGATCTCTGCGCCTCCGCCTGCGCGTTAGTCGCACGACACGCCAGCCCGATACTTTCGTTTTAACATTTTCCCCCTCCCCCCGCTGGGAGGTAGTCCTAGTGTGTTTCTAAATAAGTGATTAACAATTAATTCCAAGCGGAATCAGTTTATTTATTGGTCTCACGACAGTTTTGACGCCACACGGCAAGGGTGTGGCCATCACGTCCAGGATACACTTCAGCAATTCGTTCTAACGGCCAATGACCTCTTGGAGTATCAGGCTGAATCACAAGAACTACATCTCCAGCTTTTAGGTTTCGGAATTCTGAAGTCCACTTTGGTCGGCTGTTAAGGGCAGGAATACATTCCTTGAGCCATCTCCTCCACACTCTTAAAATTATGTCCTGGACTTTTCGCCATCGTTGACGCGGATGCAAAGGAGTGGTTTCAACGGACACAGGCGCAAACTGTCTCCTCATTTGGCCGTGTAAGAAATGGTTAGGGGTCAATGGAACATCGTCTCGTGGATTTGAACTGTGATAAGTCAACAGACGGGAATTAAGAAGGGATTCCACCTTAGCGAACACAGTGATCAGCTCTTAATCGCTTACAAACAACGGCATGAATGGCTTTCTTAGCAGCTTTCACCATTACTTCATGGGCTCCTCCAATATGTGGGGCACCTGGTGGATTGAATCTCCATCAGTCCAAGTTCCGCTGTCTTGCTCTGAAGGTGTCGTTGGTCTAACTGGCTGGCTAGTTTCTTTAACTCGCCCACTGCACCCACGAAATTTGTGCCTCTGTCGCTGATCACCTCTTAGGAACTCCATGACGACTGATGAAACGGGCGAACGCGTTTAAGAACGTAAATGAACTGCTCGAGTTTTCAAGCAAGTAAAAAGGCACAGCCACCTCTTCTGTCGTAGATTTCTGCGTCCTTGAACAGTGTACAAAGGAGCCTCGTTTTTGGGAGTGGTGCCATAATCTGACGAGCTGTCTTCTCCTACATTCATTACACCTGGGATCCCACTCGCGAATCTCCTCGCGTGCGGCGATGATCCAAAATCTCTCACTCAACTGGCAAAGAATGAAGTTTACTCCAGCGGCATGGTTTCCTCTCTCGTGATAGTTCTTCGCGTTAAGTTTCATCACCCAGTGTACACGAGGCAGAATGATTGGAAATCTAGTATCACATGGGAGAAATCTGTGAACTTTAATAATAATAATAATAATTATTTATTTCTATAGTGCATTTTCCTAACGCCCAAATGCTCTACAGTGTTAAATTATTATAACCTATAATTAAATAAGAATTTAAAGTCTAAAAATATCCTTGTCGAAAAAGATAGGTCTTAAGCTTAGCTTTAAAAATAGAGACAGATACACTGCTTTTAATCTCAAATTGAACCGAGTTCCAGGCGTGCACACTGAGAAAGCCCTCAGGCCAGTCAATTTGAGCTTGTGTGTTGGTTGCTCCAATAGAAGTTGGTCAGCAGACCTGAGAACTCACCTAGGAACATAAGGACTGATGAGCTCAGTCAAGTACGTTGGAGCCACACCATGGAGTGCCTTGAAGGTGTACGGTAAAATCATAAAAATAATACGCTGATGGACGGGGAGCCAGTGTAGCTCAATAAGTAGTGGTGTGACATGATCAAGCTTTTGCTTGCAAGGGATCACTTTTGCCGCTGCGTTCATAACATATTGTAGTCTCTGAATAAGATAATCAGGTAGACCATAAAGAAGCGAATCACAATGATCTTAGCGAGACATTACTAATACATGCACTAGTGTTTTGGTTGAGTCAATACTAAGGCGTGGACGTATGCGACTAATGTTTCTGATGTGATAAAAAGCAGTCTTGCATAGATCATTGACGTGTTCCTCGAAACTCATGGTATCGTCGAAGATGGCACTAATGTTCCGTGCGCCAGTTGTGGGCTCGACAGTAGCATCACCCACAGTAATCGAATCTAATGGTGACTTAGGGCGATGTTTAGCATGCAGAACCAGGAGTTCAGTCTTGTCGTTGTTTAACCAGAGATTATTTAAAAGCATCCATTGGTTCAGCTCGAGCAAACAAACTTTAACCCTAGTGCGCGCAGACACAACATCGTCCATTTTAGTGGTCTTCATGCTAAGGTACAGTTCAGTGTCGTCCGCGTACATATGAAACCTGACACCATGGCGACGCAGGATAGCTCCGAGAGGAGAGGTATAGACCAACCTTCGTAATAAATGGAAAAAGCAGATCATAGCAGTTTTTGAGGAGTGACGCGGGTATCGGATCTAGCATGCAGGACTTCAAAGTCGATCTAGGAACCAGGTCAGACAGTTCATCACATGATACTGACTTGAAGTGATTAAACCCAGGGCCACTTTACAGCAGTTCAGCTTGGGCGTGGTTTGTAGTACCCCTTTTTTTCCTGCAACTCTTCACGTATTGTGGTGATCTTTTCAATAAATTAATCAGCAAACGTATTTGCTTGGGACTCATCATCCATAGAATCAGGTAGTTTAGGTTCACTTTTACGATGAAAAAGTTTGTCAAAAATAGAGAATAAGCGTTTGGGATCATATTGGTTCTCGTCAATAATCCTTGAATAATAGGCCGTCTTTGCCTGCAAAATTGATTCATTTACCACCTGACACTGGTCAACGAAACGCTCGCGATCAACCGTAAGTCCAGTCCTTCGCCAACGTCGTTCAGTGCCCTTCTTTTTTGTTTCTCCTCACGGATGTCTTCAGTGTACCAAGGTGCTGAAGGGCGATTCGTTATAGTGCGCGTTTTCAGGGGTGCGTTCTTATAGAGCAGGCCAATCAGCGTAGTATTGTAAAGCGTTAAGGGAGACTCTAGATCATGACCGGCTTCATCGACTGTGCTAATTAGAGGTAAATCAGAGATGTCGTCTCTCAACTCTTGGAGATCAATTGACTTCAGTTTTCGATAATTGACTTCTTTACGCTCGAACGCTTTTTTAGGTAGTGCCAGAGAACAGCTGACAACGTAATGGTCAGAAATGACAGGATCAAAAACATCAAAGTCCCGAGCTGTACTCTCATCATTTCTGGTGATGACCAGATCTAGGGTGTTACCACTTCTGTGGGTGGGAACCCAGACGTGTTGCTTCAAGTTAAAAGCTTCAAGTAGACAGAGAAACCGTTGTGCAGATCGATCACTAGCGTCATTTACGTGCAAATTAAATTTTAATCAACCATCACTCCGGATAACTCCATCGTCGCCGATGCAGGGGTTAAGCTTTATCAACTGGCTTTTCTTTGGTATCGGTTTCCTTGAGCTCAAAGTGGCTTCCTCATTACGGAAAGCTTCGCACTCTGCTAGGCGCAGTATTTCCTCTTCAGCATCCTTTATTTCTTCGAGCAACAGTTCCATACTTGCATTCCTGTTGTCTCTGTTGCGCATGTTGTGTAGTACTCTTCTCACTCTCGCGTCAACTCAAACCAAACGCATCCAACTGGAATACCGTTTCGGATCAATTTCTTTCCGAAGGTTACACGTCATAAGGGTTGCACAGACATTTGTGTCCTCTTTCCTCTTTGAGGTTCTTATCTCTGGCATTTTACTAGGTCTATCCGGGACTTTCATCTTTGACCACTCACTGAAATAATTTAAAAGCCAATTAGGGCAATTCCACCACAAGGAACATTCGGCTAACTCTGAAGGCGAGACCCCTCTTGTGCATAATTCGGCTGGATTCTCTGCGGTAGAGGCATGCTGCCACTGCGACGGTTCAGTGAACATCTGTATTTCACCAATGCAGTTGGCTAAGAACGGTCGGAAGTCTCTTCCGCGCCCTCGAATCCACCATAGGACATCTGTACTGTCAGAGTAGAACGTCACGCTCTGCATTAGTGCTTCTATGACCATCAGCAAGGACTGTGTTAAATGCAGGCCTAAAATCACACCCATGAGTTCCAGTTTGGGTACTGTCATCGGGGTCAACAACGCCACTTTACTCTTAGCTGCAATCAGGCGACTGGTTACGGTATCATTATCGTATTCGCAGCGCATATAGACAGCTGCACCATAAGCTTGCTGAGAGGCATCAACAAATATCACAATGCACTTCGACTTGACAGGCTCTGGACGTCGTAGACACCGGGGAATCTTCACCTCTTGCAGACTTTTCAATTGCTCCAACCAATCCCCGCATGCAAATCCCAGCAGGTCAAAAATTGTTGCTACTTTACTCAGGACATTTCGCTTCGTTGTCTGAAATTCCGGGGGAACTGCGGAAGCGGTGACGGTAAACACATCTTTAGTACTGTTCCACGAAATTCCAAGTCTCTTCGTTATCGGATCTTGACCGCTGTTAATCACGATCTCTGTGGTGCGCTCTTCTGTCGGTATCACTTCAATAACTTTCGGTGAATTAGAGATCCACTTCCTGGCTTGCATGTCGGCAACTCCCCATAGTGCTTTCAATTGACGGTACAGCTCCATTCCTTCATCAACATTTTCAACACTGTCAATAGAATCGTCCATATAGGTTGACTTAAGGACGGTCTCAGTGGCAAGGGAATAGTGGTCTTTACTGCGACTCCATAGGGGCGGAATTCTTTCCAAACACTACACGGCTCGAATACGTCTGGTTCTTGGAATACGTCTGGTTCTCGATTAGGGTCGAGGTCTCTCCAAAACAGTCGGAAGTGGGATCAGTCCTCCTCCTTAATATCCATCTGGAGATACATTTCTTTTATGTTGCAAGAGACACCAAAAAGATTTCGACGGAAACGGGTAAGGACGTTGAAAAGATCTTGCTGTAATTTCGGCCCAACACGGATCAGTGGCACAGTAGAATACGATTCAAACCTTCGATGTCAATTTATCCATTCTCACGACCAGAAAATGGGGCAAATACCATACGTTAGTTGGCGGCTGTTCTTCTGAGGGTACCTTTCGTAAGTATCCCTTTTCAACATAGGCCTGAGTAGTTGCTTGATATTCTTCGGCAACGCGGCTGTTTTTCTTGAGATTTCTTTTGGTGCTTCGGAGGCGAGAGAGTGCCATGGGTTCAGTGTCAGGGAGATCGGGTTTGTTTTCTTTCCAAGGGACGGCTACACGACATCTTTCATTTTCGTACTTGAAGGAATCTTTCATTTTGCTTAAGGCTAGTCTTTCTTCGGTGAGTACGGGTCTGTCATCGCAGTCTGTGCTAGACTTCTCGATTTCCCATAATCTCTTCAAGCTGTTGTCGACTTCACAACAGGATTCTTTTCCCTCGCTCCATGAAGGTTCTCTAGTGAACAAGGAACGGATAACGTGAGATCGTGTTCTCGCGGTCTCGTTTTCGTCAGGCGCACCAATACAGCTCCACCTAAGTGGTCCGAGTCGGGTGATAGGTCCGCCATTTTTTCCACGGAGATCAACGTGTGAATAATGGACTTCAGCTTTATCAATGCCAATCAAAAGATCGACGAGTCCATCATTTGCCGGCTTGGGAAAATTGCACCGTGTCAGATGCAGCCATTTATTCTTATGGTGGTTCCAGTTCACAACTCTGTAATTGCCAGTGACTTTCTGCGGACACGTTTTTGCTCTTATTTCCTTTGAAAACCTGCCATCTACACTTTCGATTTCAATTTTTATTGGCATGGACTCTTATGTTTTGACGGTGTCATTAAGCACATAAACTTGAACTTTTTCGAATATCTCTCACGGTCTGTAACTTTACCACTGTAATTCTAACAAGGTCAGCAAACTTCTCCAATGCGTAAATGTCGTTAGTTCCTATTAAAGGCGCTTGTTCTAGTTGATCCAAGTAGGCTCGCAGAAGCCGGCGCGTACCTCCACACTTCGTTTTTAATATCTCTTTGGCTTCCTCGCATTCGTGGACGGTGACTCCGAAACCATGGATGGCTTCCCAGGTGTTCCCTGTAAGGCATTAGAGTGGTTTAGCAAGAGGACGGGAAGGTTATTTCAGAACGGGAAAGAGCGCGGATAGTCTGGACACGAGTCTAATACGACTTCCGGTGATGGCGTTGCCGGTCTCGCACAAGTTTAGGACAGTATTTGGTAGGTTTTCCCGTCCTCATCAAGACGCCTTGAATTTGCCTTCATTAAACCAGTTTAAAAGGTAAAAGAATCGCATAGAATTATCGAAAAATAATTTCCAGGATAGGTGTTTCTCACTGTAGTTTTTTTTTTTCTGGGCGCGTTGTCAAAAGTGCTCTGCTCAATTAATTAACAACCCATCATTAATATCAGGCCTCTCAGATGGTTCTTTTTTCCCGATGTATGGGTTCTTCTCTTTCACAGTTTTTGTAATGTTTAAAAAACGAGCAGGAGTGTTTTATCGGGTTTAAAACCACGAGGCGTGGCCGAGTGGTTTTTGACCCGATAAAACACGTCCTGCGAGTTTTTTGAACGGCTTCAAAAACATTCTTGGAAAAGCGTGTATCAAGAGAGTTCATAACAATTATGCTTTTGTGAACGTTAGAAATTAGCATACGAGAAAAACAGAGATTAAATTAGCATGCAAGAAAATCAAATCTCACACGTGTTTTGTACTTTTCTTCTACAAACCGAAGAGGACATGGCGTCCTGTTCCAGAGCTTTTCGGAAGCCTAAAAATGCGGAGGAAGAGAGGAATTTAATCGAGAATGCTGTCCCAAAGTCAACACGTACAGTGAGTGACATTTGTTGTGTCAGTTTCTGTGTTGATAATTAATTAATATTCATTAGTCACGTGCATTGTCTTTATATCTGATAAAACACCGCATACTAATAAGGATGAGGTTTATCGATATAAAGTCACTGCACGTGATGTATTATCTACCATTTGATAGGTTAATGAGCTTATGAATTATTAATGAGTTTTTGAACATCTTTTAAAGGTACTCTGACAAATCTTAGAACAATAACTTTCGCAATTTATCGTGTTTTAGTATAAACAGCATGAGCAGGTCGAGCAGTCGATACAGTAAAATCGATGCAACTTTTTTTTCAGTGGTTGTTGATACTATTTTTACAATGGACGCAAGCAGCTCAGAAAGCCCTGGCCTAAAGAAAAAGTGAGGATGAAATTTAATGTCTTTTTTAGAGTGCAATTTAGAGTGCAATTTTGAACGCGAAGAAATTAAAATATACAAAACAAATTGAAAATATAAAATAATGCAAATTAGCCATGTGTTTTACCAGATGACACAGTATTTGATAATAGGAGTACTTTGTCAGAATATTTAGTTGTTTTAGCCAATCTTTTGTTGGAATGTTATATTTCATTATACAGCTTCCACATGTACAGGTCTCATCACAAAATCTTAAATATATTTCTGATTTATTGTCAGGAAGATTATAACTGATTTTACACATTTGTGTTAGTCTGTTCTTCATAGTCTTTTTTCTAATGTGACCCATCCTAGTTCTCTAATCATATCTGTTACACTGGCTGTGTTAAGGTTAGACAAGATGAGAGAGAAAGTGGTGGTGGAGATAAAGAAATGAGTTAAGCTGAAAAGCTGGTGGAAGAGTTGGTGGAATTGGAGATGGAATCTGAGAAGACAAAAGAGCAGAAGGATGAGGCCAACAAACTGGTAGAAGGGGAGAAAAAGAAGGCAATAGAGATGAGGGAGAGAGCAATGGAAAGGTTCAGTCAAACCAAAAAAAGACAAGAAGAAACAGAAAAGGATGAAGGGAAAAAGGAGAAAAAAAGAAGAAGATCAGGAGAGGCAATAGAGTAGTTGAGAGAAAAAGGAGAGAATATGCGAGAGATGAAGGAGCAAGAACGTCAAGAAAGAAGGGAAGAACGGGAAGCCCAAAGAGCTCAAAACTGAACAGTTTATGTCTAAAATGCAAGCTCAAAATGAGCAAATGAAATTATTTCAACAACTGCTGCAACAAATGCAGCAACAGCAACAACAGCACAGCCAACAACAACAACAATTTGCCATGTTGCAGCATCAAATGATGCAAGTTTTGACACATCAAACTCATGTATTTCAGCAACAGTTTAAGATAGATTAAGGGTTTGGGTTTGATGTACATCAGCATTGAATGCAATGTCATTATCTGAGTTTTGTATGTTATCTAATTTTTAATCAAATAGAGTATATTTTGTATTGTAAAAGCCAATTATAATGATTATCTTTATTTATTAAATAAAATTTTTGGGCAGCAGGCCATTTTACAAATAAAATAGAAAATTACAACTTTTATCATTAAAATACACTGTATACAATCATAAAACAAATGTTGTGTTTACCAGATAAAGTAATTGGTACACGTTAACCAGGGGCCAGGGGTAATACACTTTTGAGCTATGAAAATTTACATTACTTTTCAAGAACTTCCATGACCTAAGGTAGCAAGTGAACTAATTGATTAAATCCACGATGGCACAAAAATTTGCATAAATGTCACAAAGGTATTAAGTGTAAACAGAAATGTCCACACATGTAGATTGTGCTGATGTTTATTTCTACTGAAGAAAGTATTTTTTCACTTGTCAGCTTATTTTACAAATTTGGATCTACAATCCTTTGCACTCATAGAAAGCCCTAAAAAAAAGGTTACAATATACAAGTTATTACTTATAAAATTTTCTTTAAATTTTTAACCCTCCAACATCAGTATCTGTAACTCTTCTATTGGCTAAAGTACAAAATGAAACAAATTCAAATTATTGGAAGTAGTCCTGTAAAGAAGGCGGTTGCACTTTAAACTTTTCTGACATAATGTTACTATACAGACAGGTCAACGCATTTTCCAAAGGGCACAGACAATGTTAAATTTCCCCACTGAACTCAAGTTAATTTGTAATTGGCTTTTAAAATCAATAAACTTAAAATAGTTTGTAATATTACCAAAAAGCCACTCAACTGCAACGCTTACTTCACTCATGGCCGCATTGCACAAAACCATTTGTGGAGTGAGTTGAATGTTTCAAAGGGTATGCAGGATCGCCATGAAGACAAAGAGGATACCCATTATGAAACGCCACCCTCCGAAACTCATTGAGAATGCCTGTTTGTTGAAGCATTGTGCTGTTGTGTCTTTTACCATCAAAGGGGCCATGAAGGTTTGCAATTAACCCGTTTGGGATGACAACACTGAAATTTATGGAATGTATTCTCTTGTGGCAATTGCACATAACCCTTTGGTTTTTCTTGTGGCCTCGCTATTCCACGCACAGTACCATCAATAAATCCAAAACAATTTGCCTAATGGAGCACCAAGACGTTTAGTCGATGCTTATGATTATCGTAGATAAAATCAATCGTAGTGTTGAAGATTAAGCAAAGCTCGGTCGGATTCCTGCCAAAGCGGGGTACCATGTCTGTGTATCTACAAGGGTATGCCAACCCCTTCAACAAAATGCACAGGCCCTCCATCCCACTACATACTGTTCTTTGCACGAAAGTAATTTTTTCCGGAATTCCTAAAAATTCACATAATTCAGTCAGATGTTTCATCGCAAATCTAAGCTCGATCTTGCACTCCACATCGCTCCTCTCGTCTACACTGAATCTGGGGAATTTCCAGTATGGGAAAATAGGTTTTGACGAATAGGCGTCATATAGAAGAACAAATTCGTCATCGTCAATAACATCATAGAAGCTGCCTGTTAACAAAGCATCGCGCACGGAGCTTAAACCACCACTTGCCATGATCTGCGATATGGGAAGCTACCAAGGAGTCGCATTACAGAGATCACGAAGGCCGTTCTCTCGAAAACAACTCGCATGAAAAGATGACGAATATTACACAAATTTCACAAAAACACATTTAATGGGCTAAATTCTACAGAAATTGAAATAAAACTGCCCTCCCAAATGTTGTTTAAATAAAAGTAGAATTTTAAAATTCACCTCATTTGGTATCCAAACCAAGTTCTAACGAATAACTCGTGCCGTAGTCGTCTTCGTCGGCGTTTGACAAGTGGTATACAGTAACATTAATTTCGTTGCCCTAAATTGTAGCTGATTAACTTAAAATTTACGACGAGAATTTCAACGATAGTCAATTGATATTCTAGAACAAGAATTTGCTGCACGTTTCCCTTGCTAAATCACTAGGGAATTTAAGAACCGAGGACGCGGTAGGTCGGAGACGCGACCGGAAGTGATTTTTCCAATTTCGGATGAAGAGCGCATGTGCGTGGCGTTTTCTCCCGCTCTCGAGAACGCGGACTGAAGAGATTTGGCGTCGTCTTGAAAACGTGAGTAATGAGCCTTGTTATTTAGAGCAAAACACTATAATTAACCGTCTATCGCAACTATTCTGTCAATTGGAACTTAAAATTTATTGCCTCTTCATGGGTTAGGCATCATTTTTGAAACTAAAAGGACCAAAGTTGAATGGTTTAAAACGTTTTCTTTCCTCAAGGTGAGCAAGCTTATGGTGAAGTGAATGGCGTCTAGAAGATCTTCAAAGTAAGTCATCTAATTATCCTTGAAATATTTCCCAAAGTCTCATTTTCCTTCACAGTTAAAAGAAATTATTACTGCATTCATGCGGCTATTCTCATGCATGATACAATTTAGTTATCAGGCGTCTTATCATTCTAATTGGTCTTCATTTTGTTTTGATTAATCCAAAGAGCTCCGATGTGAAATATCAGAATAAAACTTTATTGGTTGTTCCATCAACGGATGATCGATTTTAGCTTCATAAATAATTTATCTAAGACTATTCTGTTTATCAGTTGAGTCTCTACCAGATCCAGGCTTGATAATTCATGATGATCTGAAATTGAATTTCCTGATATTGTGTGATTAAAACTCAACTAGACAAAGCCTATTAAAGCTAACTTTCAAAAACGCCCACTATATTGACTATAAGAGGAAACATAAGTTTAATTAGTTTACCTTGACTACTGTCATAAAGCGTAGCATTTCAAAAGGTAAGACTTTGACATTTCTGCCATTGTGTTATTTTCATATTTTTATTTCTTTGAAATTGTTACTAACGAGCCAAGTTTTAGATAATACTCTCAACTGAAAACAAATCAAGAAAAATCAGAACTAAAAAGAGATTTTATTTGAGGTTAGATGTTGTTGCCCATCTCATGTGTAGTTTTGATAATTGATAAAAAGTTGAATGCATTATTCCACTGCTGTTAATCTTAAAAGTGTAAAGTTATGGGTGATGTCCCCCTCAATCAGCAAGGCCGCTCTTTAGATTTGTGAGCTTTAGATGTCATTAAAGAAAAATCTCACTTTTTTGAAAAAGCATAAAAACTAGCTTTGAGATTAACAGCATTTAGTTTCAATAACAACAACAACAACAACAGCATTTATTTAAACACGATAAAAAAATTCAGCAAAAGCTGATGTGGTCGTGTAAATTCAAAAGAAAGATTAGGTTAGACAAACCAAAACGAACAAGAAGAAAAACTGGAGATGCCATGGAGTTTCTAAAGGAAAGAGCACAGAAGTGTGCAGAAATTAGAGAAAAGGAACTTGAGCTGGAAAAGGGAAGACAGGAACAACAACTTCAAGTGCAACAACAACAGGCTAATATGCTGAAGCTAATGCACCAGCAACAACTGCAAAAACAGCATTAGTTCCAGCAACAACAGCAACATTACCAGCAGCAACAACAGCAAAATCAACAGCAACAGCAAAAATTCCATCAGCAACAAATGCTCATAATGCAGCAGGTCATGGGCGTCATGAGTAAAATGCTTAACAAGTAGACATTAAATTTTTATTTCTCAATGTTTAAATTTTTAAGATTTACATTTTCACAAAATGTTGAATTCAAAGTATTATTTGCCACCCCTTTGTTTAGATCTGCTTGTCGTAATATTCCCGCAAAAACTGTTCAATCAGGATTTTATGCAAGATTTTATGCAAACTTAGGCATTGACAGGTGTTTTTGTTACAGTATTTTAGCTAAAGTAATCGATTAGTGGTGGTGGACGAAGGCCAAAGTAGTCAGCAGTCGTATTGCGGTAAAGACATGTTAAAGCATTCCGCAAAAGTGCACAAACAATGTACATTTTTCCTACATGGCTAAGGCCAATTTTGAGATTTTTTTTGTAGTCTAGAAACTTGAAATAATTTATAAGGTCTCCAAACAACCATTCCACACTTGTATGTACAGAACTCATATATGCATTAAACTCTTCCATTTGTCTTGTTAACACCCCATATCTGAAGGGGCACTGCAGATGGGTACGTAGAGGATATGCCAGATCCCCGTAAATACACTCTCTTGTCCAGCAGGGGAAAAGGCGAACTGTGCCAGGTCAACATAGAGGCCAGATGTGTCCAGCATTCTTGCATCATGCATTCGTCCCTCTGAACAAGAGCAAAAAAAAAAAAAATTTTGAACCACAATCAGTTACACATTGGCTGGCTGACAAACTGTTACCTATGTAGACCATTGATTAGCTTAGTAAGTGAGTAGGCCAAAAACAACATAGGATTGGCTGGCTATTATTCTTGCAGTCCAGGTACTTATGGCCTATAAGTCAGAATTTAGAATTCATTGGTCTGTGGTGACAGGAAAACCAGTTCCTCTAAGAAAAATAGGGAGTGGGAGCTACTGAAAATACCTCTGATTTGAGAGACCGGGAGGAAGTCATCAAGAAACGTCAGCTTAACCTTATGAGAAAAGAAATCAATCTAACTTTTAACTTCACATAAGTGATAAAAATGTCTATCCAAGTAAAAACAGCTTCGGCACTATCCCACTATAAAAAATGAATGAATATAACGTTAGCTACTGGTCCAAACAGATTGCCAATCAATCCATTTGGTAGGGCCAAGGATTGAAATTTAAGAGCGTGAACACGCTTGTGGCCATTATATAAACAGCTCTCTGATTGACTCCTGGTTTTGATATGGGACGAACTGTTCCATCAACAAAGCCGAAACAGTTGTCCAAGGCGGCACCTTTGTCATGAAATGCTACAGAGTAAGTTTGCAGTAGGTTAGGAGACATAATGAAATGATTCCATTCGGTAATCCTGTGGCCATGAGCATTGTACATCCATTCAGTAACTTCATTGCTAATCATGCTGAGCTCGGGTACTGATCGGCCAAAAGTAGAAATCATATCACAACCTACATGGATAGCTAAAACGCTTTAGTATAACACAAAGTCCTTCTGTTGAATCACAAACGGTACCATTCGGGCATGTGAAGGTATCAGGCATCTGTAAAACATCCACCAACAATGAGATGTTACTCTTTTCAAATCTGAAGTCTGCCTTACACTCTGCGGGGTCTTTGTTTTCGAGGGAAAATTTTTCATAATCCCAGTGGTGAAACGGAAGGTTTTGGGGAGTGAATTCTTCATACAGCACGGCAAGTTCTTCGTCATCTAGTAGCTTTTCTTCCAGAGAAAGGAGCAAAGCTTCCTGTAAAGTCTTAAATGAGTTTTGAGTCATTCTTGTAGGGAAAGGTGAAAAGCGTTTTCACTGTTTTCCAGACCATAACTATTAATCTAAATGATCGCGTTGTTGATCTTAACTACATATTTCCCGCGCTTAGAACGCGGTGCTCGCCCCAGCCCCACTCTCGGTCCTCACATTTTCCAGACCACCGCGTTCTCGTTTCTTAAAGTCCCTACTTTTCAACACAACGCGACGGCGTTCTCGACCCAGTTCCTTATCGGCATTTTTGTTGCGCGCGCCGTTCCGAAATGACATTCCCGTCCTCTTGCTAAACCACTCTATTGTTGCAGCCTTGCCATCTTCGAGTTTACTGGCTCCATTGACTCTTCTACCAGACTATTAAAGAGGGCTCAAAAATCTTCAAACTTTCTTTTGTCACCACTGAATGTTGGAACTTTTAACGGCTTCAAATATCGGGTTCGGTCGTTGTGGCTGTGGTGACTCGTTTAGCTGATCTTCTCGGGCCGATTGCTCGTAGCAATCCGTCGTGTTCTCGCTTAATGGCGTGTTCATATTCATGACTTTGCACACGCGGACTTTGATCGCACTTTGTCCCGCTTCGATCGCTCTTTGTGCGTCTTTTTCGATGGTTTCTGACCCTTTAAAAGCTTCGTTTTTCCCAGTGTCATCTCCGACTTCGACATAGAAGGCGAACAGTTCCTCTAAAATTTCTTTAGCGTCTTCAAGGGCTGCCCACAACTGCTCAATCATACTTTCTATGCCCATTACTTCGGAATCCTTCACCCATAGTTTTTCTAACTCATGCCTGAGTTTTGTCACTTTTGTCTTTGCGGAGCGTTTTCTTCTTTTAATCTGAATTAAGAGAACGTTGTTTTGCTTCTGTTTGTCGACTCCATTCACTTTGGTAACATCGCTGTCCTTGGATTCGGAAGCCATACTGCGCAACTTAGAACTCAAAAACTCAAAAACTCAAATCGCAAATGAAACCTCAAACAAACACCAGTTCATACCTTTCACCCATCGTGGTCGCCAGAAATGTTCGAAAGCGATAACGAAAATCTCCTTTGAAAGCAGGCACGTTTAATCGGTAAACAGACGGTAAAACGGTAACGGCTTAAAATACAAACTAAAAAAAAAAAACCCTCCAAAATGCGACTAAAACTTAAAAAACATACACGCGAGAAATCGTACACGTAACTTGCTTACGAACTAGTCAAATTTAAATGTCTCAGTGCGCGCGCGCTAATCGCACGACACGCCAGTCCGATACTAGAGTGGTTTAGCAAGAGGACGGGAACTTCATTTCAGAACGGCGCGCGCAGCAAAAATGCCGAGAAAAAACTGGGTCGAGAATGCCGTCGCGTTGCGTTGAAAAGTGACTTAGCAGTCGTTTCAACGAACCGTCCACGTTATGTTTGGCTCTTTAGGATCGTTATCATCTTCGAATTTTCGGCTTCATAGACCACTTGAAGGACAACGAAATTATCCTCTTTGAGAGTGTAACAAGCACAAACCGAGGATAGTTTACTACAAGTGAGTTGTTAATATGAATCCACATGGGCGATTAAACTTTGAAATTATTTCATTCCAGTTAAGTCTCGAGTCTGTAGATTCATCTATCAAATTTTAAAGCCCCTGTCATTTCGATTCGTGCTTCTAGATTTCAGCACTACTCGTTTTTCTTGATAATTTTGTAAAGTATAATTTGGAATTGAAATCGTCGCCGTTTTTTCCCTTGTTTACTGAATATTCTTTTTAATCATGACAGTACACCTCTTTTAAGCACCACCTTCTTAGAGTTGCAATGCATTTTGAACGGAGTTATCAGAAGTTATGGCGAAAACATGTAGAGATCAAGCGACCCAACGATAGAGTTGTTTACAATGAGTTCCCGTTTAACCATGAACGAATGAAATGCACTCAAACTAGTCACCAACGAAACGGTTAGACTGAGGAATCAGACTTCGTTCCTGTTTTATTTTGTTTTTGTTTAATTTCATTTTTTTAAAGAATAAATTCGTTCAAGACTGAATCAAATTCATAGATTTAGAAAGCCGTGCCGAAATCAAGTTGATTGTTATTTTCTTTCGTAGATGACTTTCTTGTCTAAGACATAAAAAGACATAAAAAAGTGCGAACCCGAGCTACTCTCAAATTTCTTTTTATCTCTGACTTCAATTCGCAGAACTCTTTTTAATCACGGTTAAAACGATAATAACATCAAATAACACCGAATAATATAGCATGTAACCTTCGTGTTGTTTCATTTTGATAAACTTCGACATGAAGCAAGTTTAATTTGTTGATGAATTAATTCACAATAAAATTAACAGCAGCCATTCTTAGAGTTTTCATACATGACTTAAGAAATGTATCAAAGAAAAGCCCTTACGTTGCTTAAAGCCACGCTCAATTACAAAAGGTAACTGAGCCCTAAAATCTTAGATCGCTTGCTGACGATCGTGTTTCCTTTCGGGAATCCAAAATAAATGTAGCGGTAAATTTTCACAAATTCACTGAATAAAACAAAGAAAGGAACCTGGTTATCCTGGAAATGAGTTCTGAAATCATTCCAAACAGCATTATCTCGTTTATAAGTGTCCAATGAACGCAAATCTTAGGCGTTTTGATCACGACGGGAAAACCAGCGAAATGACGTCCTGAACTTGATGGGGAGAACGGCAACGCTAACACCGGAAGTCGAAATAGAGTCGTGTCCAGATTATCCGCGCGCTTTCCCGTTCTGAAATGACCTTCCCGTCCTCTTGCTAAACCACTCCACTTTCTTTTCTTAACAGCTGATGTATCACAGGATTATAGTGCTGTTTGGATGGATTGTTTACCCGATCGGCCAAGACTATCCAAGATAACGGAATTACTGTAGGCAGTGGAGGACCACCAATGCTAGGTGCATGTGCATATTTGTTGAAAACAAAGTGCTTGACTTCGGCATTGTTGGCTTTGTTTTATGAGAATCAAGTTTTTTTAATAACCTCTTGGTCCTATTGCTGATTGAAGAGTAAACCTCTTCGGACGATAGGGAATTCTTCCATAAAGCTGTTTACCTTTTCTGCATCGGCTTTTCCCTGGCAAGACACCAACAAAGACAGGACGTTCATTTTGCAAAGTAAAATTCCTGTGGAAAACACAGGTTTAGATCATTTGCTTTGTGCATTCCTTCAAGATATCCCATCTGCATGTAAATGACTCGCTCCAAGTGAACTTCGTTGCAAAAATTGATTTGGAGTTTTTTTGCGAAACCTCTCCAGCTCTACTGTTCAATTTGTGATGAACAGATTTGCGTGAGAATCTTCATGCTGAAACTCCTGTGCTGGTGTAAAGGTCATTTTCGGCAAGTTTCTCCAGAACTTTTTCTCCAAGTGAGCGTTTTTTTTTACTTTTCTCAGCCTGCCACCACAATTTTTTAGATCCATTGTGTATCACAATTTTTCAATAAAGTAACATTTCCGTTATCCTCAACCATGTCCTTCCCATCTTCGACTTAACACCACACACAATACGTTTGAGCATTCTAGTTTGCAAACGAGGTGAAAATGGCTTTCCAGAACTTTTTCGCGGTACAATGTGATTTTACTTCCTCTTTTGTCTGAAAGAGGGATATTTTACAAACCGATTGTGAAAAAAGCATCACAACTTAAAAAGAAATTGTAACTTTTTAAAAGGAAAACAGTGACACCTTTAAATATTTCTCAGGAAGAAATTTTTTGTGTGCAAGGCGACGATTTAGGCGCCAATCGGTATTTGTGGATGGGTCTTTTTTCCCGCGATTTTTACAACCCTAGATGTATTTTATTGGGAAAAAATGTTTATGTGTGGAATTCAGTAAAGTTTTAAAAAAGACAAAAGTCATTCAAGTTCCTTTTCTTGTTTTTTTGTTATATAGTAACATGTCTATCCAGAACAGTTTTGATCAATATACTATTTATTTACTTGAATATGTACTTATATGTGTAGTGTTGTTCACATCTGTAAAAATATCTTTTAAGGACTTCTTGTTGCATTCTCGACAAGAACAGTTATTTTCAATCTGATTTATTGAATATTCTCTAAATCACATGGCACATGATGGAAAAACTAAAATGAAAAATCAAGGACCAAATAAACAAAAATGCTTGAACAAAAGATTTGAGAAAACGAAATAATGTCGAAAGAAGCGATCACTTACGTTGCCGAACTCCTAAGAGAGTAAAATACGAGGTATTCTACTGAGCTTAATGTTCTACATTGATTTGTAGCCTCCTCATTTTCTTCTGCTGTATTTGATTACATTGCATAATTAGTTTTTTTGGCAAATGCTTGAATTACAAGCATTTACTGACGAAATGTTTAAGCATAACTTGTGTCACACTCCTTGCTCAAGGATTTTGCATCCCTGCTTTGGCTACGTTTCTTCCAGTGGATTCCAACTGTGTAGTGACTTTTTTTCATCGCCAAGGGGCGCATTGACTAGTCGACCTCCAAATCTCAACAGTCCTTGCTTTAGCTGTAGGTTCAGCTGTTGTATCGACGCACCAGCCTTCTGAAGAACTTTCCCACGAAAAGCATTTCTTTGAAGAGTGGAGACATAAATCTGAGCCTCTTTCCTAACTTCTACATCGACATCTCTTAAGCCTGGAACTTCAATCATTTTGGGCCAGTGACTCTCGTTTTCCCACGGGAAGGCCCTTACAACCAATGGTCACTCCTTAACATGGCATTTAACTTTAGTCTCTTCTACCCATCATCAGCTGGGTTGTCGTTCCGGTTCACATACTTCTACTAGGAGGGTTTAGATCCATTGTGTATCACTCTTAGACGATTAGACTCGAACGTATGGAATCTCCTTGACTCGTTGTTGATGCACTTCAGCACGGATGTCAAGTCAGTCCAATAGCAAACATGGTCTATTGCCATGTTCAATTCTTCTCGAATGATCTTAGAAAGCCTCACAGAAATAACAGCCGCTGTCAGCTCCAATCTTGGAATTGAAATTTCGCATACAGGAGCCAATCTTGCCTTCCCCATTACAAGTACATGTACACAGTGAACTTGGTTGGTAACATCTTTCAAGCGGAGGTATGTAACAGCTGCATATCCTTACCGGGAAGGGTCTGAGAAGAGGTGCAACTGTACTTCTTTAACATCACCAAATCCCTTGGGTTTACTTGTATTTCTTGCAACTTTGGGAGATCGTCAAGCCAGCGCTTCCATTGCCCGTTGTTGGCTTCCTCTAATGGATCATCCCAACTTAGCTTCTTTCTACTAAACGTCTGCAACAGCAACATAGCTTTCATAACATATAGAGTGATTAATCCCAAAGGATTGAAGAGGGAATAAACAGCAAACACAATTCCTCTGCGAGTCACTGGTTTCTTATTCTCTTGCTTCAATATCTTCTCTAACACTTCCCATACAAACTTGTCTTCTTCTATGTTCCACTTTAGTCCAAGAGCACTCTCTGTAGTAAGTCGCTCAAGCTCTAAATTAACCACCGATTTGGCTCTTTCCTACTCCGGGATTGTCGCTATCACTTCTCTGTCGTTATTGTACCACTTTTTTAAGCAGAATCCGCCTTTCTCCAGCAACTTGCGCAGTTGACTTGCTAAACTGATTGCTCTCCTTGTGGTACTTGTCGACTACATCATGTCGTCTACATACATGTTGCAGTTCACTGCCTCTATCACTTCTTTGTCAAACTCGTCCTCATGCAACTGCGCTGTCTTCCTTAGACAGAAGTTAGCAACACTTGGTGGAGATGTAGCACC